CTCCCAGGCTCTAGTAAATTTTACTTTCTGTCTTTATGGATTTAACTACTCTAGGTACGTCACATATATGGAATCATACAATATTTGATATTTCACTTAGCATAATGTGTTCAAGTTTCATCCACATTGTAGCATGTATCAGAATTTCATTACTTTGCATAAGATTTCCTGTGTGCACAAAGCACATTTTTTTTTAACCATTTATCTGTTGGTGGAAATTTGAACAGTTTTCATCTTTTGGCTATTAGGAATAATGTTGCTATGAACATTGGCATACAAATATCTATTCAAGTCCTGGCTTTCAAATTTTTTTCATGTAAGTGGAATTGCTGAATCAAATTGTACTTCTGCATTTAATTTTTTGAAAACCGTAATTTTATAAAAACATACTGTTTATCATAATGGTTGTCTGTACTAGGTAACGTTTCAGCCAACAATGCACAAGGCTTCCGATTTATTCACATTCACACCAACACATATTATTTTTCTTTTCCAGTCATAGCCATTTTAATAGATTTGAACTTGTATCTGATGATTCTTATGTATATTTCCCTAATGATTAGTGATATTGAGCATATTTTTACATGCTTATTGACCACCTGTATGTCTTTTTTAAAGAAACATCTATTCAAGACCCTGACTCATTTTTCAAACGGGCTTTGGTTTTTGTTGTTGAATATTAATTGTTCTTCATATATTCTGGATATCAGTCCTGTATCAGCTATGTGCTTTATAAATATTTTTCTCTCATTCTGTGAGTTGCCTTTTCAATCTGCTAGTTAGTGCATTTTGATGCAAAACTTTTCTGATTTTGATGAAGTCCAATTTATTGATTTTATTTTCCTTTCATTGCCTGTGCTTTGGTGTCTTATGCAAGGAATAATTGCAAAATCCAGGGTCACGGAATTTCCCCTCAATGTTTTAATATAAGAGTTTTCTATGTTAAGCTCTTATGTTTAGGTCTTTGGTCCATTTGTAATTAATTTTTGTTATGGGACTTAAGGGAGAGACCAATTTCATTCTTTTGTATGTGGACATCCAGTTTTCCCAGCACCATTGTTAAAAATATGGTCTTCCTTTTTAAACGAATTTGGTATTCTTGTTAAAAATTATTTGATTACATCTTCAAGGGTTTATTTCTGAGTTCTCTGTTCTCCCCTATCTGTGAAAATCTCTGTATTTATGCAAGCAGTGTGCTGTTTTTATTACTGCAGCTTTATAGTAAATTTTGAAATCAGAAAGTGTGAGCCCTTTAACTTTTTCAAAATAGTTTTGACTATTTAGGATCTCTTGATATTCCACACATATTTTCAAATGGAATTTTTTTCTATTGCTACCAAAAAATCATTGGGATTTTGATAGGGATTGCAGTGAATTTGTAGGTAGCTTTAGGTAGTATTGACATCTTAACAACATTAATTACTCAATTCATAAATACAGCATGTCTTTTCATTTATTTGTCTTCTTTGATGTTTATCTTTTTAAAAATTATACTTTAAGTTCTGGGGTACATGTGCAGACCATTCAGGTTTGTTACATAGGTATACATGTGCCATGGTGGTGGTTTGCTGTATCCATCACTCCGTCATCTACATTAGGTATTTCTCCTAATGCTATCCCTTCCCAATCCTCCCACCCTCTGCTATTCCTCCCCTAGCCCCCAGGCCCTGGTGTGTGATGTTCCCCTCCCTGTGTCCCTATGTTTTCATTGTTCAACACCCACTTATGAATGAGAACATAAGTTCAACACCCACTTATGAGTGTTTGATTTTCTGTTCTTATGTCAGTTTGCTGAGAATGATGGTTTCCAGTTTCATCCATGTCCCTGCAAGGACATAAATTCATCCTTTTTTATGGCTGCATAGTCTTCCATGGTGTATATGTGCCACATTTTCTTTGTCCAGTCTATCATTGATGTTGATGGACATTTGGGTTGGTTCCAAGTCTTTGCTGTTGTGAACAGTGCCTCAATAAACATACATGTGCATGTGTCTTTATAATAGAATGATTTATAATCCTTCGGGTATATATCCAGTGATGGGATTGCTGGGTCAAATGGTATTTCTATTGCTAGATCCTTGAGGAATCACCACACTGTCTTCCACATTGTTGAACTAATTTATACCCCCACCAACAGTGTAAAAGGGTTCCTATTTCTCCACATCCTTTCCAGCATCTTTTGTCTCCTGATTTTTTAATGATTGCCATTCGACCTGGTGTGAGGTGGTATCTGAATATGGTTTTGGTTTGCATTTCTCCAATTACTAGTGATGATGAGCTTTTTTTCATATGTTTGTTGACTGCATAAATGTGTTCTTTTGAAAAGTTTCTTTTCATATCCTTTGCCCAGTTTTTGATGGGGTTGTTTGTTTTTTCTTGTAAATTTGTTTATGTTCTCCATAGATTCTGGATAGTAGCCCTTTGTCAGATAGGTAGATTGCAAAATTTTTTTCCCATTATGTTGGTTGCCAGTTCACTGTATTGATAGTTTCTTTTGCTGTGCAGAAGCTCTTAAGTTTAATTAGATCCCATTTGTCTATTTTGGCTTTTGTTGCCAATGCTTTTGATGTTTTAGTCATGAAGTCCTTGTCCATGCCTATGTCCTGAATGGTATTGCATAGGTTTTCTTCCAGAGTTTTAATGATGTTAGGCCTCATGTTTAAATCTTCAATCCATCTAGAGTTCATTTTTTTATATGGTATAAGGCAGGGGTCCAGTTTCAGCTTTCTGCATATGGCTAGCCAGTTTTCCCAACACCGTTTATTAAACAGGGAATCCTTTCCCTGTTGCTTTTTTGTCAGGTTTGTCAAATACCAAATGGTTACAGTTGTATGGCATTCTTTCTGAGGCCTCTGTTCTGTTCCATTGGTTTATATCTCTGTTTTGGTATCAGTACCTTGCTGTTTTGATTACTGTAGCCTTGTAATGTTTGAAGTCAGGTAGCATGATGCCATTTTTTCCCTTAATGTTTTATAGTTTTTTGTCTGCAAGTTTTTAACTCTTTCATTAAGTTGATTCCTAAGTATTTTATTTTTTGATGGTATTATAAATGAAGTTTCTTTCTATATTTCCTTTTCTAATTACTCATTTTTAGTTTATAGAAATACAACTGGTTTGTTTCTTGGTTTTGTATACTGCTAGATATGTTATTGAATTTCTTTATTCTAATAGTTTTTGTGAACTTTTCAGTGTTTTCTACATGTAAGATTGTGTTATCTGTGAGCAAATATAATTTTACTGTTGGATGGGTTTTATTTATTTTTTGTGCCTAATTGCTCTGGCTAAAACATCTAATACTATGCTGACTCTAAGTGTTAAAGCAAGCATCTTTGTCTTGTTTCTGATCTTAGAAGTAAAGCTTCCAATTCCTCAACATTGAGTGTGACGTTATTTGTAGGTTTTTCATATGTGGTCTTTATTTTATTGAAGTAATTTCCTTTTGTTCTCATTTTGTTGAGTGTTTTTATCATGAGGGATATTGAAATTTATAAAATGCTTTCTGTATGTTTATTGGTATTCTTATGCTTCCCCTCTTCATTGTATGAATGTGGCGTATTACATTTATTCATTTTCATATGGTGAACCATCTTTGTATCTCTCAATAAATTTCACTTGGTTATGGTGTATATGCTACTGAATTCAGTTTTCTAGTATTTTGCTGAAGATTTTTACATCAATATTTACAACATATATCTTGTAATATCTTTGTCTGGCTTTGGTATCAGGGTAGTCTTGGCCTCATAGAATGAGTTAGAAAGTGTTTCCTCTTCTTTAGAGGAGTTTGGAGAGAACTGTTGTTATTTCTTCTTTAAGTGTTTGGTAGAATTCACCAGTGAAGCCATCAGGTCTAGGGTTTTTCTTTGTTAAAAGCTTTTTGATTATTAATTCATTCCCCCCTACTGGTTTAGATGCATTTAGATTTTCTATCTCTTTATAATTGATTCTTGGTATATTTCTATGACTTTCACATTTTATCTAGATTAGCCAATTTGTTGACATACGGCTGTTCATAATGCTGTCTTAAAATCCTTATTAATATAGATTTGGTAATGATATTCCTACCTTCATTTCTGATTTTCCTTGAGAGTAAACATGACACTTTATAAAAATATTTGGCCAGATGGGATATTGAACAGGACAAGAGAGTGGAAAGGAAAAATAAGACACATTTAGTTCTGAATTTTTGTCTGCACTCAGGCAAAAGAGGTGATGAGCATCCCCAACACCTGTATCCAGGTACATGTCCCCAAACAGGAATCTTTGAACCCAAAAGTGAGATGGGTCAAAGACCAGTATTGTTCATGATCTGTATATTAATAAGATCAACTTTTGTTACTGAAATATTGTGACTTGAACTGATGGCTTTTTGCCTCCAGTTTATTATCTTCTCAAGTATTTTGAAGGCAACATATGTGGCTGAGACAACCCATGAGGACCTCTGGCTAGATTACTGGTAATTCTTGAAAGAGAAAAACATGAAAGAGGCTTCAGTTTTTCCTTTCTTTTCTCCATAGATTCCCATTTTTATCTCCTGTTTGTATTTCACAGAGCACTAAGAAGGCATCAGTGAAACGCCTAATAAATACCTAGTATTTCTCAAAGTCAAAAGTTTCACAACTCAGCACTCCAGGAAGTCTGATTTCATTGCTTGTTTATACTTTTCCCCCGTTTACCTTAACCAGTGGTGTCTTTTGCCAAATTTAAATGAAATTTGCCCCTCATAGGATTTCAGCTTGAAACTGAATTCAGAAGCCAGAAAGACTTAAAAGCATGTGTTTTAAATGCTACACAATGTATCTATTCTTTTAAGTGGAAGTTTCATAGTATTCAAAGCCAGGTATATAAAACAAATTGCAACATATTTCCTCAAGCAACCACTTAGAGATCATACCAAATGAACTTAATAAATATGTTTTACATTTTTAATGAGTAACATGGAATGTGCTTAAGTGGTTCAATTTATCAGAAATTTTTTTCAGATAAACTTCCTACCAGCTTCCTCCAGTACAAAACGCTTTTTATTTTCTTTTTAAAGCAAAGTTTATGCCCTCCCCCGACGCCACCTTTTTTAAGCTCTTTCAGGTGGTGGAAGGTCTGAGGATCATTTGCACTAATTATTTTTAGTTCTTCCTCATATAACACCTGAAGAGGACATTGTATTTATGGGAACCAAATTACTTAGAAATATTTCCAAGGTCTTTAAGCAGAGGTCAGTACACACATTAGCTGGGGGCAAAAGGAATATTCAAGCCTAGGCATCCCTTTTGAATTCACAGCTGGGATTTATGCAGCTCCATGCTGTTGGCCTGGTCCCCTTGGTTACCCTCCACCTTGCTCATAATATCCAGACAGCATGTCAGGGCCCATCTCATCTCCACATATCAATAGATGTTTGTGGAGGATCAGCTGTTCCCATGGTACCTGGGCTCTGGGAATTGCGTCGGAATGTGCTATGTTTCCCAGACTCTAGGTTCTCAGCAACTGCTCATATTCCATCTTGAGTCGCTGCGCCTACTGAGTCTTTCTAGGATTCTGTGTTGCTGCATTGACATTTTCACACTCGGGTCCTAACTCCTGATTACAAGCTGCTGGGATTAAGAAATTCCTCCCAGAGACCTGGCTGTACTTGCCTTAATTGCCCATTTGTTCTTCTCTGTGTTGATTTTCATTTGCTTCCCCTTTAGGGTAATTGTGAAAGAAGCATTAGTTATTACTTTCCTCATTCTAAATTACTGTGATAAGATTTTTGGACTTGTGCTACTTCCACTGGAGAAAATGTAGAACTTTATTATCTTGCTAGAAAAGACCACCTTGCATGTTTTTCATCTTAAGTAGAGGTTTAGTAGCTTGTAAAAATCCCAAACTGGATGGCTGTGCATCTCATGTAACAGTAAATATACTACAGAAATGTTTTTGAATAAAATGATGGATACAATATAAATAATAAGACATTTGAAACAAGCATTTTATTAAAATAAAAAGGCTTACCTTGAATCATGAATATGCTTTCTAGATAGTTACTTATATAAGAAATATTTAACTCCTCAACTTTGAAAAATATATATGTTGTGTGATAGCTCTTTGGTTTAAATCTGAAATGAGAATTTAAAAAAGAGGAATAAATGAGGAAAATTTGGGATAAAGAGACGTAGATTTAATAAAATTAGCATGGGAATTGTTGAAAATACAGATTCCTAGTTTTGACCCTTGGTAGAGTGAATTACTACACAGGAAAGAGAAAGACAAAAATAAAAACAAAAAGCTGAGATGCATAAATACATTTAAATTTTAGTTAGAAATAATTTTTAAGTGTATGTTCTAAATATTATGGAACATACTTATATTTTTTTCACTGTTTATGTAGAATTCAAATTTAATTGGGTATTTTGTATTTTATCTGTCAGTTTTAACCACTAGAGATTTCAATTCAGTCCTGGTGGGTGGGGGCCAAAACTGGTGTACTTTTTATAAGCTAAACTCTGCATGAATTCTAATGAGAAGTCAGGTTAGAAAACCACTAGCTTATTGTTTCACAATGGAAGACGGGCACACACACACACACCCACCCCCCCCACCCACCAACCCACCCCATGGTGATTTGCAAGTCTATGCTTCTGATAGATTCATTCTACAAGTGAAAAAAATATATCTATTATCTGAAGTAAAGAGAGAAACCAAAATTCACCAGATCTTGCCATGGGGATCCTGGTAGAGGTGGCAAAGTACTTATGCATTTTCCAACTTATAGAATGCACTACAGACTGACAGAATTATCCTCATCCTCATCATCATTTTTTTGGCTGGCTACCTTAAAATTTTGTTGTCAAATATGGTTGGTTACAATTGGATATTCTTGTTAACTTTTATGATTGTTAGTTACCATGAGGGTTTAAGTAAAACCCAACATATAATATATGGTCAACTAGCTTTTAAAAACAGAATACAATAGAACACACAACAATTAATTTAACCTTCGTATAAATTAGTTGATTTAATTCATTCACCGTGTATCTATTAAGTGCTTGACATGTTGCAATGCTGGGGACAAATTGCAAATTAGATAGATCCCCAACTCTCCAGGCACTTAATGGTTTAGAGTCACAACAGTTTCCTGCAGGACTTTAAGTCTCACATGATATGTTGATTAGCATAGAACTTTGTATACAGTATTCCAAAGTAGTAGAACACCTGGTTTCAAGAAGCCTATCTCATTACAAAAAAAAAAAAAAAAGAGAAAAAAGTCCTCTACATTTTAAAATGTAGTAGCCTTAATATAAAGCTTCATAAAGGGGAAATCCCTTTTATGCCCTGTTGAGGTTGCATGGTTTGGGAAGAGGAAGATGACTTTAAAACTCTGTAATTACTGGATTTATTTAATTAAGGACTAGTTACAGCATTTAGTACTAAATGACATGTTTTTATTGGTCATTATCATATAAAACTTTTGCCAGATTCTTTTTTCTATTGAAGTATCCATTGCAAGCATTGTAATATGGAAGGGCTGTGCTACATGATGTGAGTCATGCTCATCAGGACAGGTGGGGGAACGGCAGGTGCCTTGGTGTAGAAGATCCAGCTCAGTGTGCAGCCATTTCAGGAAGACTTTTCTGACCACCCACTTTGAGCTCTCCTTTTTCAAACTTCCATACTACTTCCACTGAACTGGCTACTTTAATGTTCCAAAAATCTCTTAGCAATCTTAAAGTGAGAATAATATTCAGGAGTGAGAAGGAGCAAGCACCACATTATAGACATGTTTAGAATTTCCAACAGAGTTTCCCTCATCTAGATGCAGCCCCTGAGTCTTCTATCACCTGGGTGTTTGGCCTGGATGTCACTTTGAAGATCATAACACAGAAGTAAGCCTTGTGGAAGCAAGTGCCTTTCACAGCACCATGGGTGTGCCCTGAGAAACAGCTGAATACAAGGTAAAAGCTCAGTGTGCCAGGATGAGTGAGGATTTAGGGGTAATTATTCTTTCTGGTTCACTGGAAAATGTCTTTCTGAAAATTAAATCTATTACAATATGAAAGTTGCTTTGCTTAGTATTCTGGTTTGTACAAAGAAGACTAAAGCAGAGCACCTGCTCTCAAAATCAGATAATTCAGGTGAGGAGTTAAGGCAAATGTGAATGAAAATTTAACCAACAAGAGAGTTAATTAGGCAGCATGGGAAGGTAATGACTTTCCTCTGAAAAAGAGCTATTAAAGGTTAGCATCCCATGTTCTACCCCAGCTTATTTCCCTGCACTGACAAATAAGAGATGGTAAATGTAATTGGTTGGGCCATTCTTTCAGTATAGTATGTTGTGGCATATTAAGTCAAAATATCAATTATAATAGCCACTTACAGAGTGCTTAATATTTCTCAGTTTGATAAATAACTTTTTGTAAGTTAATAATTTAATTCTCCCAACAGTCTAATAAGCCAGGAGCTGTTACCCCCATCTTTTGGAAAAAGAGAGGTTAAATAACTTGCCCAAGTTCACACAGCCATTAGGTAGCTTAACAAAGCTGGCTTCAAAGCCCAGGCTTAATAATGATTTCATTCTGCCTTCTTTGCTTCTGTGTATCAACTCTTATTGTGCCTTCTAAAAAAGTAAATTCCAGAAAATTTTTCCTCTTCTTTTGTCTCTTTATGCTATAGTCAATTGAAAGGAAAAACATCTGGTGAGTAGATCGTTCTTACCAGAGATGCTCTGTTTCTAGGTAATTGAAGTTTTATGTCAGTGAGGCCGAGAGAGTACCTAGGCAAGGTCAGTTTATATGAGATGGAAGCCAAAGCCAAACAAACTTTAATGTCTCCTAAAAGTCCATGGGCAACAGAAGAGGTTTTCTGAGATATCAGAAGAAAGTACAGCTTCGTGGAGAAAAATGCATGATCTTACTAGGAAAGAGGGATTTCTCTGTGAAGAATCAAGGTGATTTCTGTGTGGAGGAATTATACTGTTAATAACAAATAGGGGAAGCAGTGAGCTGTCTCGGGCTTTGTAACATCTGTTATAACTGCACCTGCCTCAAAGATTTCCTGGTTTCTAATCCCCAGAGAAAGTCAGTCAGCAGGAAATGAGGCAAGTGCACAATGAGTTTACGGGAAAAAGATGGCTTTTAACTTCTCCTTGGGCTTAATTCCTGACAATATTGTGTATTCCCCTTGTTGATAGTACTTTACAAGGCAGTGGTTTGTAAAGTGAAAGATGGGAAGGAAGGAAGGGACCTATGCTTGGAAACAGTTTTTATGGAACAGAGGAATGTCATAGGGCACGGGTCAATTGGGTGACATCAATACATCTGGCTGTTAGTCCTTGCTGTGACTGAATGGGTAACACACGGAAACAAAACATATTCTTACTCACCACAGCAATTCAAAGGCTCACCACCTGTGTCTCCTTTCTTTCTCTAATTCAGTGATTCTCATATTCCCACACTTTAGAATGAATCAGGATCACCTGCGGGGCTTGTTTAAACACACGTTGCAGGACCTGATATTCAGAGTTTCGGACACAATGTGTCTGGTGTGGTCCCTAGGAATCTGTATTTCTGCAAGTCCCTAGGCGATGCTGAGGCTGCTGGTCTGGGGATTACAATTGAGAATTACTGCTGTGATTGATTTAAACAGAAATCTCTCATTGTTATTATTCTGGGGTCTCTCTCTCATCAGGATCATCCAATTCCCAGAGATTTTCACCTTTTCTTCCTGTAAGTTCCATTGGACAGAAGCTGCCCCACAGTTCTCCACCAAAGCCCCAGCAGCAGCCTCAGCATTTGTCTCTAACTTGGATGAAATTAATTAAGTTACATTCGTGGGGTTCCAGAGAGAAGTTGAGTGGATGTAGCCTGTGTAAGCTAGTACAATGGAGTAGGCATTTCCCCAAAGGCCTCACTATATTGGATAGACATCATGTTTTACATCTATTTTCCTGGAGTGAATCTGCTGCAGATGAAATGCTAACATTGTCTACTGTTATTATACAGAGGCTTGCGGAAGGACATTAGCTCCCCCTTATATTTGGTTTTGTATCTTACACTTTCAGTTATCCACACTCAACTGTGGTCTGAAAAGATGACCTTTATGAAAAAGTTCACAAATAACAATTTATACACTTTTTCTTTGGTTTGTTTTTTTGAGACAGAGTTTTGCTCTTGTTGCCCAGGCTGGAGTGCAATGGTGCAATCTTGGCTCACCACAGCCTCCACCTCCCAGGTTCAAGCAATTCTCCTGCCTCAGGTCTAGAGTAGCTGGAATTACAGGCATTTGGGGCCACACCTGGCTAATTTTGTATTTTTAGTAGAGAGAAGGGGTTTCTCCATGTTGGTCAGGCTGACCTCTAACTCCTGACCTCAGGTGATCCACCCACCTCAGGCTCCCAAAATGGTGGGATTACAGGTGTGAGCCACTGTGCCTGGCCCAATTTATAAGTTTTAAATGGCACACTCTTTTGAATATCATGATTCCTGCTTTCATCCCACCCCTGATGTGACTCATTCCTTTGTCCAGCATATCTATGTTGTATATGTTCCCCACCTGTTAGCCATGGACATCGTCTGCTCCTGACGTCCAGTCAACATCAACATGGCTTGATGATCTAGGATCACCCAAAGCAGATTATCTCCCTATTGGTGAATCTTCAGAAAGTCAATTGTAGCTTAACACTGTGTCACAGTGCCTGTGTCATTCACCTCACTTCATCACATCATGTAGGCATTTTATCATCTCTCATAATCACAAGAAGAAGAGCAAGTACAGTACAAGAAGATATTTTGAGACAGAAAGAACACATTCACAAAACTTTTATTACAGTGTATTGTTGTAATTGGTCTATTTTATTACCAGTTTTGATTGTTAATCCTTTGTGCCTAATTTATAAACTTTTTCATAGTTAAGGATGTATAGGAACAAGTAGCCGGTGCGGTGGCTCATACCTGTAATCCCAGCACTTTGGAAGGCCAAGGCAGATGGATCACCCGAGGTCAGGAGTTCGAGACCAGCCTGACCAACTTGGTGAAACCCTTTCTCTACTAAAAATACAAAATTAGCTGGGTGTGGTGGCACATGCCTGTAATCCCAGCTACCTGGGAGGCTGAGGCAGGAGAATTGCTTGAACTCATGTGGCGGAGGTTGCAGTGAGCAGAGATTGCATCATTGTATTCTGGCCTGGGCAGCAAAAGCGAAACTCTGTTTCTAAAAAAAAAAAAAAGAAAAAGAAAAAGGAACAAGCATAACATACATAGGGTTCAATACTATCCTTAGTTTTAGGCATCCGCTGGGGATAATGGGGAACTACTGTAGCTAACCTTGTGCTTATGTGAAGAGCACCTAAGGTCACTTGCACAGAGAAGCTATTTAAAAATAGTTGTTAAAATTAGGAACTCCCAGAAATATAATATGTGTGGCATCACTTAAAGAAGTAAAAAGAAAGAGTATAATTTTTATTTCCCTTTGTATTTAGTAAAATAATTATTTTTCACTATATTATATATTTACTGTAAAATTACATTAATTTTTCATATAATTTTTAAAAAGTGAAATATCTACATGTAAGGCACATAAATAGTTAAGCAAAATGTTTTATACTAATATAGTCACATGCTACTTAACAACGTTTTGGTAAATGATGGAATGCCTCTAATAAGATAGTGGTCACATAAGATTATAATACCCTGTTTTTACTACCTTTATGTCTAGACATGTCTGAATACATTAATACTTACTATTGTGTTACAATTATCTATGGTATTCAGTATAGTAGCACGCTGTACAGGTTTGTAGCTAGGAGCAATAAGTTATAACATGTAGCCTAATGTAGTAGGCTATTGCACCTGGGTTTGTGTGAGCATTCTGTATGATGTTTGCACAATGATAACAAAATCGCCTAATGACACATTTCTCATAAGGAATTTCTGTTATTAAGCAATACATGACTGTACTAATATAATACATATGCTGATATTCAATATTTCATCAGATAGCAATATATCATAAAATGCATAAACATATTAGAATGATATATTCAATTATTATATGCAAAGTCACTTTAAAAAGTAAATATCTAAATGCAAGGCATACAGAAAATATATTAAAATATTACATGTACCAAGTGTGCTCATATTAATATATGCAAATTGTTAAAAGTTAATATATCTACATGCAAGATATAGCTATATAAAATAATATATAACGTTAATATACATTACACATATTTATCATTTCTAAACTGCCACTTGTTTTATTACTCATATCTCAGTCTGTTCTGCCACTTTGGTTTTAGGAGAGTTACTGCCAATATTATTGGGATGACAGCTTAAATCAACAAATGTCAATGGATAATACGAAGTTTACTGGATTTTCTCAGTACAGTAAAGAATGGAAACCCTAGTTTTGGGTATATATTCAGTGCTTTTCTTTACATGTATCTTTTAAAAGGGGGCAATAATTAACATTATGTTTCATTTCTAAGGTAGATTCTAACTACAAAGGTCATCAAATTGATATTTAACAAAATGTTCTCCAGGTTCATCTATGTTGTCAGAAATGGTAGATTTCCTTTTTTTTTTTTTTTTTTTTTAAAACTGAATATTATTCCATTGTGTAAATATGCTGCATTTTCCTTATCCATTTATCTGAGGATGGATGCTTAAGCCGATTCCATGTCTTGGCTATGGTTAAGAATGCTGCAGTGAACATCTCAGTAGCATACTGATTTCATTGCCTTTGAATACTCAGTAGTGGGATTGCTGAGTCACATGGCAGTTTCATTTTTAATTCTCTGAGGAACTTTCATACTGTTTCTCATAATGGCTGTGCTAATTTACATTCTCAAAAACAGTGTGTGAAGGTTCCCTTTTCTCCACATTCCTGTTAACACTTGTTATCTTTCATCTTCTTGAGGGTAGCCATTCTAAGGTGCCAGGTGATATCTCATTGGCTTTAATTTACAAGGGAGTACATTTTAAGTGCTTTTACCACAAACAAGAATGAAAGTATGTGAAGTAATACATATAGTAATTAGCTCAACTTAACTATTCAACCATGTATACATATTTGACAACAATGTATAATACATAATGTGTACAGTTTTTGTGGATTAAAATAAATACATTTTAAAAAGTGATAAGTTGATTAGTATTTTCTGCTTAATGAAGAAAGCAGTATCAGCCTAGCAGGAGTGATTCAGGCTTCTAAAACGTCTTGCTGTTCCAACTGTCTCCCCTGTCTGACACCCTCGTGCCAGCAATTCTACCATACCAGCGTTACTGATTTAATCACTGTGATTATTCTCCTAAGGAGTAGCCTTCTTTATGCTCCATTTCTAAGAGCGTACCTTTCTGTGAGTCTCATTATCAGGGCCATTTTCCAATGACCTCTGAAGGCTTGAGTTATTTGGAATTTTGAGGCCAAAAATACAAGAATAGGAAGATGAAAAGGTAAATTCTTCCTTCTTCAGGTTTCTATATTGTTCCCACTGAGAAAAAAATAAACACTGAGATCTTTATTATGTTTGTTTTATTCTTTAATATTTTGCCAAACTAAACATTGATATCATCTGTTATATAGTCCTAGCAAGACTTGTAACTGACAGAAACTAATCTAAAACCATGCATTAATGAATATTGAACCAATGGTTAATTATCACGCCCTGTGGAAAAAGCCATGTGCCCAGACAATAGTCTATGAATGGTGGCTGATTTAAACATGGCTCTATTTAAATCTCCAAGCGTTTTAAATGGGATGATTATAATAATCCCTTCAGTTTGTTTAAAGTCCGATTGTATACAGAGGCTTTCCAGTATATTTTTAGATTTCACTGAGAATGTTTTCTCACTTAAGACTTAACCTAGATCAACCCTGTTTTGTAGCAAAGAGTTACAAGTTTTCTTTTACCCATGGAGAAACCAAGTCTCAGAGAAGTTAATTAAATAGAATAAGGTTACACAGCCAACAGATTATAGATCTAAGACTAAAAGCTATCTATTTGCAGCTAGCATACTTTCCACTCCACTGTATTCTCTTTGAAAATGTTTGGGGTATCAAATATAGAATACATGATGTCTGAGGTCAGCAGAGCCATTTTCTTTTTTTTTTCCCCCATTTATTTATTTTATTGCATTTTAGGTTTTGGGGTACATGTGAAGAACATGCAAAATTGTTGCATAGGAACACACGTGGCAGTGTGATTTGCTGCCTTCCTCCCCATCACCTACATCTGGCATTTCTCCCCCTGCTATCTCTCCCCAGCTTCCCACCCCCCACCGTCCCTCCCCTATTTCCCCCCAACTGACCCCAGTGTGTAGTGCTCCCCTCCCTGTGTCCATGTGCTCTCATCGTTCAACACCCGCCTATGAGTGAGAACATGCGGTGTTTGATCTTCTGCTCCTCTGACAGTTTGCTGAGAATGATGGTCTCCAGGTTCATCCATGTCCCTACAAAGGACCCAAACTCATCGTTTTTGATGGCTGCATAATATTCCATGGTGTATATGTGCCACATTTTCCCTATCCAGTCTATCGTCGATGGGCATTTGGGTTGGTTCCAGGTCTTTGCTATTGTAAACAGTGCTGCAAGCCATTTTCTGAGTTATAATTGTAAGAAAAGCCAGAAGTATAGCCAGATGTTCTATCTATATGATTTTTACTCCCCCACTACCACTATTATGGCCTGAATGGTGTCCCAAAATTTATATGTTAAAATCCCAAGCTGCAGTAGTACTTCAGAATGTGACAGTATTTGAAGATAAAATTCTAAAAAAGATGATTAAGTTAAAATGAGGCCATTAGAGTAAGGCCAACCAGACTGGCATCTTTAGAAGGAAAGGAAAGGGTGCCAGGAGAGCGTGCACAGAGGGATAACCATGTTGAGGCAGCAGGAATCCAGCCAATCAAGGAGAAAAGCATTGGAGCAGACCTGTTCCCTGATGCCCCTGGAGGAAATTACCCCTGCTGGGACCCTGATCTTGGCATTCCAGCTTCCACAACGGTGAGAACATACATTTCTGTGATATCGTGTTATGGCAGCCCAAGCAAACTTATATAACCCCCTACACAGTCTCTTGGAACCACCTACCTGGAAGAAGTTACCAGAAGGCAGACTTGGGGAAACATCCATGCAGAGTGAAGCCAGTCATTCAAATTTTGACTCCTGGAGCGTTGGTCTTCCTGTCCTTGCAAACATATCCTGGTGCTTCTTTAAAAATGTGGATGCTTATGGTGGCCTGTCATGCCTGAGCTAAAGCTGTTTTTTACCCATCTTTAGATGCCATGCACTGAGCATTTTTATTCATTATTGGCAGATCCTACCTGCTTTCCTAGTTTCCTTCATCATTCTTTCCTTTCTCTGTTTTCCTTACTCCTGCCTCTCTTCTTCAGCTTCTCTCTTCTCCCGTCTCTCTCTCCTTACCCCATCCCCTGTCTCGTTTCTCCAGTCTCCCTTCTCTCCAATCTTCTCCATTTTTTCTCCCTTGTCCTGTCTTTTCTTCCCTCTTATGTCTTTCCTTTTTCACCCCACCTTTCTTCTCTTCTCTCAAAACAAATTCTTTTTAAAAGACCAATTTTGAGTTCTTTTTGCCCTAGTGCAAACCTATTTTAAATATAAAATATCAGG